CCAGAAGGCCCGAAAATCAGTTGACATGCGCGCCAGAGCTGAGCTGGCGTGGCCACTGATATGGCTACGCATGCCACCTGTGGCACACGTGCCATAGGTTCACCATCACGGTCCTATGTTGTGCCATGGGTTTATGAAGTGGTTTTGTTTCCCCAATGTACAAATCTTCACATGGCTATTTTGAATTTTGAATGAAAAGTGAGTTATAACTAAATACTAATGTCATTCAATGAACTTATATTGTTGGATAGGAGAAGAGTGCACTTGATTTGACTTTAAATTAAATCAAATACTTCACTGCAGTTTGTCCCTAAGGTGTTTCTTTCCATGACCTGGATGACCGAGAATCTCCATAGACATTCACTGCAGTTTGGTGAGTCAGATGGACAATAACTTTACTCAAGAGCAGGAAATCATAGTTGTTTTGATAGATTTTTGCTGGCTATTAAGAGAAACAATGTGTGTCATCAAATCAGAATCAGTTCTTAACAACCATATAGACTTCCAGGGTGATCTATCTCCAATCTAGTCCTTCAATTCTTCCAATTGGGTACTCATTGCTGCTGTGATCAAGCCCATTCACCTTGATACTGGCCATCCTTCTCTTTTCCTTCCATCTTTCTCAGCTTTATGGACTTCTCAATTGTTCCAAGTCTTTAGCATAATGTGTTAAAATGTGTTGAGTCTCAAGGGAAAACTCTGGATTGTTAAGTTCTATGAAATGGAAACATATATTTGGGGGTAACTTCAAATCAGGATTTTATGAGAAGACACTAATTTATTAAATGTACATTACTTCAATTTTTAAAAAGTTGGGAGGGATGGACTTGTTGATCTTCCCTTGGAAACCTCCCCATACCCCAATTAGGTGCTAAAACTAAACTCTCTCTCTATCTTCCAACCCAATAACCCTTTAAAAATCTTTTCTTGACTCCAGGCTGAAGCGTAGAAGAACCAAGCCAACAAGGAAAGAAAATCCTTCTGCAGCTTTTTACTTTTATTTTTTTAATCTATTTTTATTTATTAAGTAAGAAAAAAAAAGTCATTTCTAAAATTCGAGCTAGAAAATGGAGGAGGCTGGGTCTTTGCAAACTTTAGCTGTCTGTCTGACTGCCTGGAGAGGACAGTCTATGGCCTAGTCCAATGTTTCTCAACCTTGGTAGCTTGAAGATGGGTGGACTTCAGCTCCCAGCGCTGGCTGGGGGTTTCTGAGAGTTGAAGTCCACCCATCTTCAAGCTTCTAAGGTTGAGAAACACTGGTCTAGTCTTTTAAGTCCTACCTGGACTCTACAGGCAGTGGGATAGACAGCTAAAGCTTGCAAAGACCCAGCCTCATACATACAACCTCTCCCTCTGCCAGGAGGGCAGAGGGAGAGTTTAGCTTTAATTGGGGGGGGGAGGGAAGATCAACAAATTCATCCCTCCCAGCAGGTAGTCCTCAACGTACGACCACAATTGTGCCCAAAATTTATGTTTATGTATATTTTATGACTTTTCTTGCCATATTTGGTAAGTGAATCACCGAAGTGGTTAAGTTACTAACACGGTTGTTAAGTGAATCTGGCTTCCCCATTGTCTCTGCTTGTTAGAAGATTGCAAAAGGTGGTGGTCCCGTGACCTGGGGACACTATAACCGTCATAAATATGAACTAGTTGTCAAGCATCCAAATGTAAATCATGTGACCATGGGGATGCTGCAATGGTCGTAAGTGTGAAAAATGGTCATAAGCCACTTTTTTCAGTGCCGTTGTAACTTTGATCGGTCATTAAATGGACTCTTGTAAATTGAGGACTACCTGTATTTTATAAACCAGGGAATTTTTCATTACCAATGCAGTTAGCATTATTACTACATTAGCCACACGGTGGAGCCATTAGCACTTTCTCATTATATTTATATGCTTTAGAATAACAGAGTTGGAAGGGACCTTGGAGGTCTTCTAGTCCAACCCCCTGCTTAGGCAGGAAACCCTACACCACTTCAGACAAATGGTTATCTAACGTCATCTTAAAAACTTCCAGTGTTGGAGCATTCACAACTTCTGGGAGGCAAGTTGTTCCACTGATTAATTGTTCTAACTTTCAACTTCAATAGTATTCCCAGTAGTTTAGCAATTAGATCCGGCTGACTAGGTTTCATCCTATGCAACAAGAAACTAGCATGTTGCAAGTATGACATTTATTTGAATTAATATTTTTACATTTCCTGCTGCAACAGGAGATTTGCAAGACAGGTATGGTATTCCTCCCTTTTACTTCCCAGCATTTTTTTTTTTTTTGAAAGATGATACATTTGGAGTTTGATATAGTTGCCATTACCGTAACTTGGTGGGATGAAACTCACCACTGGAATGTACTGATGGAAGGATACAAACTATTCAAAAGAAACAGACCTAACAAAACAGGAGCTGGAGTTGCGTTATATATCAAAGATCACTACATCTCTTTAGAAATGCACAAAACCAAGGATGAAAACCTCCTAGAAGGCATATAAAAGGAAAAAGCAGGGGGTTGGACTAGAAGACCTCCAAGGTCCCTTCCAGCTCTCTTCTGATTGATAAAAATCCTTTTCCCACATTCTATGGTTTTGATCCTGCTTTTCCAGTAAAGTGAGGGAGGGGACATCTGAGAAATTCTGCTCATGTTGAGAAAGGAAATCACAGGGCGTAGAAATTTGAGTTTGATGCCTGTGTGCTGAGTTTCCTGTTTGCTTTTAAAGCCCTCTCTGCAGGGGAATGAAGATGTCTCATCCTTTGCCTAGTGACTGATAGTGACTGATGCTTAGGCCAGATTCCAAAGACCAGATAGCAGGAACAGACTCCTGAATCAACATTCCTGATATAAGCCTTTCCCTTCTCCATGACTGCATATTCATGTGCAAAATGCTTGAAGCTGCTGCAAGAAACAGCCATTATCTTGGAGCAGACAATATCAGCAAACATACCTCCCCCACCCCAGTGAGGAGAGGAAAGCCACCAGAAAGCCAGTTTTGGTCACCACGATGTAAAAAAAATATTGAGACTCTAGAAAGAATGCAGGAAAGAGCAACAAAGATGATTAGGGGACTGGAGGCTAAAACATGAAAAACAGTTGCAGGCACTGAGTATGTCTAGTTTAATGAAAAGAAGGAGTAGGGGAGACATGATAGCAGTGTTCCAATATCTCAGGGGCTGCCACAAAGAAGAGGGAGCCAAGCTATTCTCCAAAGCACCTGAGGACAGGACAAGAAACAATGGGTGGAAACTAATCAAGGAGAGATCCAACTTAGAACTAAGGAGAAATTTCCTGACAGTCAGTGTTAGGTTATGGTTTGAGCCTAACAATTAATCAGTGAAACAACTTGCCTCCAGAAGTTGTGAATGCTCCAACACTGGAAGTTTTGAAGAAGGTGTTGGATAACCATTTGCCTGAAGTGGTCTGAAGCCTAAGCAGGGGCTTGGACTAGAAGACCTCCAAAGTCCCTTCCAACTCTGTTTTTCTATTCTAAGATTGTCTTGACAGGAAGTTTGTGAGAGATTGAATTATCTCATGTTTGCTCTCTTCCTATTAATTTGGGGTTAAACTCCAGAGAGAAGCTGGGTGAAAATTACATGATCCCAGATCCTTGAAAATCTTGAATCCTTGGTTACTATACTCAGCAGCAGCAGCCCTACATCAGCTTTTTCTCCAATTCAGTTGCTCCAATTCAGTTATGTTTCAAGTTATTTAAGATAAAACCATATGTGGCTTTATCTGCAGGCACTGCAATAACTGTGTAACGATATTGTCCCAAAGGTGCTTTTTCAAAAGGCAATTGGACTTTCTGGTTTGTCTTTGAAGACGTTTCACTTATTATCCAAAAAGTTCCTTTAGCTCTGACTGAAAGCGAAACGTCTTCAAAGACAAACCAGAAAGTCCAGTTGCCTTTTGAAAAAGCACCTTTGGGACAACCATGACCTGCATGACTGAGAATCTCCATAGAAATATGTAACAATATTATTTGCATGCTACACATTATGTATTTGAGCTGAAGCTTTTTGAGTAAGAGGCAAACAAAGAGATTTAAAAACTCTTCTGTTATAGAATGATCTGGTAATTGAAATCCATATGTGCTACCCCATTGCTTCCTAAGTTGTCACAGTTGGAATCAGCAATCGTTCTTTTCCCTATTTGTCATAAATTGCACAAAATATTTGAGATGGAATTACGTACGTCATGGCCTGCTAAAGGATTTAACATGTTTAACATGTTAAACCAATGTTTGTATCAACGATCAGCTGTATCCCTGTCAAATTCTTTATGGATATTTTTCCTCCATTGATGCACACTGGTAATTTTTCTAAAGAAGTTCATCAAGATGAAGTTTGCCTTTGTTGTTAGTTGCGAAGTTATGTCTGACCCATGATGACCCCATGGACAATGTTCCTCCAGGCCTTCCTGTCCTCTACCGTCCCCCTGAGTCCATTTAAGCTCATGCCGACTGCTTCAGTGACTCCATCCAGCCACCTCGTTCTCTGTCATCCCATTCTTCTTTTTCCCTCAATCTTTCCCAACATTAGGCTCTTCTCCAGTGAGTCCTTCCTTCTCCTTAGGTGGCCAAAGTATTTGAGTTTCATCTTCAGGACCTGGCCTTCTAAAGAGCAGTCAGGGTTGATCTCCTCTAGGATTGACCGGTTTGATCGCCTTGGTTCAAACAATGTTACAGGGAATACTATAAAAAAAGAACAACTCTACAATTTTTAAAAAAATAATTCTGGATAGTCTGGAGCTACTCTATATGATTCCACTCACCTGATTTAATTGAAGTTATTATTGACAATTATACTGAATTTGTTACACTGAATAATGAAATTAGTAATTATAGAAGCTAAAATGTAGATGTGGAAGTGAAAAATTTCATTTCTTCCCACACAGATTGGATCCCTTCCTTATCTACAGCAGTTGGACATTGACAAACTTGGGGTACGGTTGTAGGGAAAGGGAAAACTCTGTAAAAAAGAATTCTTTTTTTAAAAAAAGAATTATAGATCATCTAGTTTATTTATAAAAATAAGGCAAACTAAAAAAACCTTTAAAAAAATCTAGAAATTCCAATTTCTACACGCACATTCTATTGTTATCTGAATCTCATACTTCATATTACTACAAAGTGTTCGTGATAGAAAAAGTAAAGACATATGCTATTAAAATATTGGAAAAAATGAAGTATATACATATATATTTAGTATGAACAAGTGGCTAAAATTAGGGAGCACAAATCCTCTGGTTCTGCTATATAAACCTAACTAAATTCTATTTCATATTTAGCCAAATTCTTACATAAAAGGAAACGTGTAAAACCTCTGCACTGGATAATCACAAGTTACAAGCTACAAAAATTGTTTTCTACACAATAATTTTTTAACAGATTTGAACCATAACATAGTGCATTGTAAAAATACAGCAATACAATGTAAAAATACAGCTCAATAATACAATCTATCTTATAAAAAGAATTACAATGATATGTGTACGGTACTGTAATGCTATAACCAATAGCAGTAATACTGAACAGATTAATGGAAATTAAAAGTACTGAACAATTGTCAGTGTAAGTACAGGATCAACATCAACTTTACTCCCTGTATAAATACTTCCATCTCAAAGTTTGAGAACATGACTTCATGTTGCCTAAATGACATCTAAGAATTTCTCCCACTTATTTTTAGCTTTACCATTTCATGTAACAGTTTTGATCCAAACTAAAACTCTTACTATATAATCACTTATTAGATAACTTGATTAGTTAAGGCTTGGATCAAGGACTTAATAGACTAAAACAGCTAGAGGGCCAAGGTTGTGCACCCGTGAATTAATATGTAAAACAGAACTTTTGAAAATAATAGTAATCTGTAACCAGAAGACAATAAACTTGTCATGTTTTGTCACTTTGAAATGGGGTCCAAGTGAAGTGGCTGATACTATAACAATGTAATCCCTGGCAGGAAAAGATCAGCTTTAGGAGTATCTTCTGGTATATGGAGAAACTCCAGGTGAACTTTCCCTCACAATGCAAATCTATGTTTGTTTATTTAGAAGTAAATCCTACAACGCAGGTATCTAATCTGAAAAACTGAGGTATGAGCAAATGCATTTAAAAAACAAAAAATTAATTGTCCTATTTTCACTTTTCCATGCAAAGCATGAGACTGGTCCAAGACATTTTGTGTCTGAATAGAAAGTCATAATCTTTTTGTTTCTTCATGAAAGAAAGAATTGGCTATCCTCAAGGAGACTCCAAATATAATCCTCCGAGTGATACCTCACTCTACCAGGTTCATTAATGATAGTGGATCCTGCCACAATGTTAACCTTTTAGGGAAGCCTTCAATAATCTGTTTTCTTCTAGATTTTCTGGATTGCAGGACAACAGGTTGGAGTGGTTATTATACAGCCTCTTTGATAACTTAAAACAATATTATTTAATACTGATACTAAGCTTATGTCTGGGTTAACTAGCAGTATTAACACAAAAACTTCACTATTTGTGGAGCAGAACACCACTGTATTTATCTCTCTGACTAATGAATGGTATCAATATTGGGACCAGCCCAGATTTTACTGTTTATTATTATAGCTTTCATTATGGCTTAATGGAATATTTACACAGATGCAATTAAATGTCCCATAAGGAAAAGTGAGGGATATACACTGGTGGTATTGAACCGGTTCTACCCGGTTCGGGCAAACCGGTAGCGGCAGCGGCGGGAGGCTCCGCCCACCCACCCGGATGTCATCACAGACACTCTGTGCATGCGCAGAAGTGGCACACACGCTCACATTTGCGAACCGGTAGCGAAGGTAAGTGAATACCGCTACTGGAGATCTACTACCAGATCTATAGCCAGTTTAAAAGATCAGGAGGATCCAAAGAACTAGGGAATTTCTTATTGCCTTTTCAAGGCAGATTTACAGGAAGAAGAGGAAGAAATAATAGGGGGGAATTCCTGCTTTCCTTTTGAATGCAGGTCTGTCCATGTTTCTACACATGACTCAGACTAATACTGATGGTAGTTAATTCCTGTGACAGATGCACTTGGTCTGCCGTAGCAACAGCAATGCATCGTTAAAAATCTACAGAAAGAGCTATGTATTTCTCTTTGTCGAGGGAACAAAGATTTGAAATCTCGGTAGCGCTACCTGGTTAAAAAAAGGGGGGAGAGAGAATGAAATTCTATGTGCTGGCTGTTTAAGTGTGATAAGAGAAAAAAATCTGTATTTTGCATAAATTAAGCAAATTTGCACAATTGTTTTAATTTTACGTCACTGGTTATTATTTTGCATAGTTCCGTCAGTTTGACCAACATTGGGAAAGGGCAAAGTAAGTTGGCAGGGGACTGAAAACTTATTCTATTGCCTTTCCTGCTTCTGGAACTTTATGCACACATTGTTGTGGCTCCGACCCCCGAGGCCGACTTATCGGAGGGAGAAGGCTCCGAACATGAAGGAGAGGAGTTGGCCAGGCCTCCCTCTCCAGGACCTTCCTCTCTGGCAATGCCTCAGGTGTCTCCCGTAGGAGAAGAGATTGGCCAGGAGCCAGATATCTCCTCAGAGTTGGACAGTGAAGGAGATAAGTCTTGGCTGGATCCACGGCAGCGTCGGAGAGACAAGTGCATGCAACAGAAAAGGAGGCGTGCCAGAGATTAAGCTGAGTCACTGGACCACACCCCACAGGGGATATAAGGGGTGAGGTGGCCATTCAGACTCTGTGACGGACAAAACTAACTACTATCGAGTCACATTGCATCTTTGGAAACAACATAATCTGCCTTGGATTGAATTACGGACTGGACTTGACAATTCTTGAACTGTGTATATCTTGTTTATGAGTAAAGTACTTGGCAAGCAGCTACTGGGTTGCTGCCAATCCTCTTATCGAAAGAATTGGTTGTCTGCCAGTTTATTTAACCCCCGGCTGTCTGTTTGTGTGCGTGTGTGAGACGGGGACAGAACACACATTTGCTATAAGATTTAGAAATACTTTTCCCCAGAAAGAATAAAATAAAAGCCTGATATTTACACTATATTAATTCTAAAGCTGGTATCATGTGTTGCACTCATGCCATACTAATGCTGCCTGTTTTTTTTCATTGCTTGGTCCGCCACAGCTTGTGACACACCATGCCAAAGGGTACTGCTTGTTTAAAGTAGGGCCTAGAAGCCACTCCTGGGTCTCTGATTACTTCCAGAAGGACTAAGTACACCATTGGGGATCACAAGCAGTGCAAGATTATCCCTAAAACCTTAAGTAGAGCTGGAGATGACCCAAATATTAATGGCTGATGGCCATTTTTCCAGCCTTTAAAAAGTTCATTTATCACTCCAGATGAAAATTTTACTTTAAAAAGTAATAATAAATTGTTTTAAGACTAATTGTGACTCTTTAAGTTCCTTCATTAGTATGGGAAAAATTCTTACTGATTCTGTTTTATACCAGCATGATCCATGTCCTGGATGCACCGTGCTACAAATTGCAGATTTCAGGTGGAATAAAATTTTACACTTACATACCGTGCTTACCTATGAAGTTTACAGGAAAGTAAAACTTCTTTTAAAAAATAATAGAGATAGGTGGTATTGCCCGAAACATAATCAACATACAATTCTATATTAAGAATTATTAATTGGGATCCTTGATGAATACAATTATTTCATGTAAAGATTCAAGAATGATTTGGCAATTACTGTTTGGAAGTATTTAAGTGCTTAAACAACTGCAGTTCCTCCCCAACCCCCCCAGCAACATTGACTCAAATGATTAGGAACACTGGGCATGGTTAAGATGTCAGTAAATATTTAGATTTCTGTGAAAATCTCAAACTTCCTTCCCAGATAGCTCAATTTCCTCTACTATGCAGAATCTGTTGTCTTCAGCTTAACTGTCCTCGTCTTTACAGCCTGGCAATATCCCGCAATAGCCGAGTCCAAGCTCTCTTGCTTAAGATGAGCTGTACTTGTTACTGGAGCGGAAATTGTCATATCCGTGGTCATTTGCTTTGAACTTTAAGCAGGACTGTTTCTCCTCCAGGGATAGCATGTCTTTGGAATGACACCAGCAACAAAGGCACGACTGTAAAGCAGAAGGATTCTCCATTAGAAAGGCTGTTTGTATGTGCATTTATACATTTGCCTAGCTCTCTAAGACAGTGGCCCTCAACTTTTGGGGCCCCAGGGACCGGTTCCTTGGTCAGAGGTTTTTCCGCGAACCGGAGGGGGCGTGGTTTCGCATGCTGCTTGCATCCCACAGATGGGGCTTTGCTTGTTTGCGCGGCCCAGTTGCTGGCATGCCACGGACCCCTGCCGATCCACGGACTGGGGGGTCAGGGACCCCTGCTCTAAAATACAGAACCATTATTTGGCGGTTCTTTCACAGAAATCAGAACCTGAAAATTCCAAGGGAGTCAAGCAAGTAAGCAAGCGATAAAAAAAAATATCCACCCACCAACCCTGTCCAGCTACAAAAATCTTCACAACCATTTGATTATGAAAGAGCGGAGATGACACATATTCTTTCCAGAGTCTTTTTGCAGCTGCGTTTAAACTTTAACTTTAAAGTTTAAACTTTGAACAGCAACAGTCCTGACAGACAAGAGACATCTCTTTCTGAGCTCTCATGGGGGTTCTTCACTTTCTCACAGCCCTTAACACAGATAGCCTGTCCTACATGAACTCTATGTTCCTGTGAGTGTCATTTTTGTGGGCCTCTCAATAGTTACCAATATTGTTTATACTTGTGATGAAGGAGGAAGTTGTTTCTTTATATATTTCTTTTTCTTCACTATATTTTCTTTCTTTTTCTTTCATTTTTTTTCTTTTCTTTCTAATTTTCCTTTTTATCCTTTTAGGGTTTTTTTTCAGTTTGGGTTAATTTTTATCTTTTAATATGTAGTATTTAGTAACATTCACCAAAATAAGAAAGTATTGCCTTGAAAAGAACAAAATCTTATGGTATTATATATTTTTGGTGTATTGAGAAAAGCTCTTTTCAGAGGTTTTACTGCACTCTGTGTCTGTCATTCTTGTACAACATTTTTGTTTTACAAACAGACTCATAATCAAAAAGGCTCATATTTAGACCTCTCCCTGCAATGGCTGGTTATAATCCAAAGCACTGTTTCTACACAGAAAGGCATTATAAACGTGACTCTGAGCTTCTAACTGTTGATATTGTTCAGATAGGAAAGGACTAGAGGGTATCATTTTGTCATATTCAAACCTGTAATAAAGTTTCAGATTAATAGTGAAAACAAGAACATTTGATAAATTCCTTTTGCTTTATTCTACTTTCTACTGAGGGTAATCCAAGAGGAAATTATTCTACCTATTTAGCTTTCATTCTTTTCCAGCTTCATTCAAAGAAACTCTGGGTATTTTAGTTTTCTACTGAGATATTAATAAATTCACTCTTAGCAACCTCTACCTCCTCTACAGAAAGCTACTTCCTGAATGGAATACTTCAATTTTCTTTGGCTTACCCATAGCCAATTCAATCTTTGTGCCAAACTTTGTCCATTAGGCAAGGAAATCACAAAACTCAATTATTCCAGATTCCAGTTAAAATAATAAAACTCATTATCAATCAGTAGCACAAAACACTGTATCTATTTCATCCTTATTTCAATATGGTGGACAATGTCCTATAAACTACGGTGTATGGAAACATCTAGGACAGTGGTGGGTTTCAAAATTTTTTACTACCGGTTCTGTGGGTGTGGCTTGGTGGGCATGGCTTTGTGGGTGTGGCTTTGTGGGCGTGGCTTGGGAAGGGTACTATAAAATCTCCATTCCCACCCCAATCCAGGGGAAGGTTACTGCAAAATCCCCATTTCCTCCCGATCAGCTGGGACTCAAAAGGCAGAGAACAGATGGGGGTGGGGCCAGTCAGAATTTTTACTACTGGTTCTCCAAACTACTCAAAATTTCCGCTACCGGTTCTCCAGAACTGGTCAGAACCTGCTGAAACCCACCTCTGATCTAGGACTTTCCTTGGACTGTGAATGAACAATTATTTAAACTTATAAGAGAATATAAAGTTTCAATGGGTATTGGAAATATTGGACATGTGAATTCTGCAGATCTAAGGAAGCTTCTCATTTATTTTCTACAGAACAGCAACTTTTCCTTATTCTTGATCTCTATGATTCACTGTTGCACTCTGGTGAATGACCCACTTCTCTAGATTGCCTAATTGCAAAGAACATTTCTTCTGAAATAAAGCTTTTGCTTTTAGTTACTGTGACCACTTGTGACTGAAAAAATGGGCATTTTTTAAAAGACAGAATTAAATTTCTTCAGCAAGAGGTTTCATCTGATGCCATTCAGCTTCATTTGTAATACGATTTAATAAACAGATCTCACCTTAAAGCAGTTTTTGAATCTTTTGCTCACCAAATAGAGAGCAATTGGGTTGATGCAGGAATTCAAAGATGCCATATTGATTCCAATGTAGTTCATCACCAGCAAAAACCTGTTCCCAAAACCGAAAGATTGAAGGTTTATTATAATAAGGATTACTTGATTACCAAGGCAACATAATGTTGTAACGCAGATATAGTAGGTTTTTGAGGGGAATGACTCTGGAATCCCAAATGCTCCCTTGATCATGAAACACAGCGAGTAAATTGTGACTTTGTTGTGAAAATAACAAGAAGTAGGGAAAGGTCAAAACTGGTGAAGTGTTGTGATCTTTTGCACGTGCAGGCAAAACAGAAGGTTTTGTTAGGAATTGCTTTTGTGGGAAAGCAGCATCAGAAAAAGTAAATGTAAAGGGCTATCTTTTAAGCAATCATCTGATTGAACTCTTCCTGTTTGGAAGAAAACTGATTCCATCATTAGTGAAAGTAAATTTATGGATCAGTACATAACCAGTTTCAATGGAAAGGAAACACTTAGAGAAGCAACCTTTCAGAAGATACTATCTTGAGGGCTCCAAGGTGCATTCCTGCCCTGAATAGGTAAGGGGATTCATAATTCCTAAAAGTTCTTAAAGCATTCAATGGTCTTTAAGAAAATCCAGGGAAGAAAAGGGTTTTCCAGTCTTTTATGCAAAAGCACGTTGCATTCCTACACGTACTGTCTCAACCTTATTTAAAAAGTTCTATCCTTGTACTTATTATTCAGGAATCTTCCAGGAATCAATTGCATCTGTGTATATCTTCCAGACAGTTCTTTATAACATTGGCAAGATCTGACCACTAATACTAGAATGAAATACTAACAAGTATATATAATGTCCCAGATGGAGTAGTGAGCAATAGTAGAAGGTATATTAGAAGCATATATCATGTCCTCTTTAGGAGAACAGATGGGAATTTAAGATCAGCTAGAACCATAAAGATGCATCTCCTATAGGAAACGCAGGGAACTATTCAATATGATGTTACACTGATTTTTTTTCGTCCTGAATTTTAAATGATTTTCTTTTGATTTAAGAGAAAATAATTTTTCTAAAGTCAGATTTTAACACAGCATTAAGTTAACTTATTTTTGACAGAACTTCAGTCCCGTTGGGAATCCTGCATGTTTTTGCAGTGATTACATACAGCTGATAGAGCACAAAATCTGGCTCTGCAGCATCATTTCAAGCTGTAACAGTCTTACCTGAAAAGATCACACCTGTCTGGGCTGCGGGGATCATAGAGCGCAAACTTCAATATGCTACTAAGATTAAGAGGCAGCCAGCACAATGCGAAAACAACCACTAAACAGAATACTGTTTTGGCTACTTCACGTCTCTGAAAGCAAAGAAACACACAATTGGGAATAAAGGTAAATAAACAGTTGACTATATTAATGGCTATTAATGGTTTCTGGTTTGTTACAGAACTTAAGTCCTCAACTTACAACAGTTCATTTAGTGACCACTCAAAGTTACAATGGCTCTGATAAAAGGTAATTTATGACCGTTTTTCACACTAATGACTATTGCGGCATTCCCAGGGTCATGTGATCAAAATTCAGACCCTTGGCAACTGACTCATATTTATGACAATTGCAGTGTCCCGAGCTCATGTGATTCCCTTTTGCAACCTTCTGACAAGCAGTCAATGGGGAAACCCATTGGATTCACTTAACAATGGTGTTACTAATTTAACAACTGAAGTGATTCATTTAACAAATGTGGCGAGAAAGGTCGTAAAATGGGGCACAATTCACACAAGTGTCTCATTTAGCTACTGTTTATTTTGTATCATTATAGAAAATGGCAATGGTTCTGAAGGAAATTTGGGAAGGGAACTTTATTAAAAATGTATTTTGTTTAAGTTTTAACTTTAATTTTGTTTGAAACTGTACCCATGATACCAGTATTATACACCTTTCAAATAAGACAGAGGTTTCATTTCTGCTTTTACCTGTTTCAGGTGGTCATTTAATGCTATCTGCATCCCACTCTTCTTCCTTAACATCTCACAGGTCATCAGAGTGTAGAAAAGAGCAGTGATTAACAGTGGCAAACAGAAATAAAAGCTAAAAATCCACCAGTCTTTAGCTACCTGGTAAAACTGAGAGAAGGGAGAGGGAGGGAAGAGAAAAAAAATCAGAAGGGTTAAGACATTGTTTTGTAATTGGCGGTAAAGGCTATATGCAAATTAGCAATTGACAAAACACTGAATGCCAAGGGATCAGTGCTAAGAAAAAAAGTAGATCTATCAATAAAATGGAGCTCCATGAACTTACCAGAAACTCAAAGCAACAATGGTGTCCAGTCATCCTGGAGGAAGTTTTTCACCATGATATACCAGTAGAATCCTTCTTATTCCTGCAATCATTTTCGATTAGAATTTTGTCAGCTTCTTTCCACTAGTCTTTCCATTTTTTGATCCTGGTCAACTAGCTGGAATACTAGTTGGAAAGGATCTTGGAAGACTTCTAGTCCAAACTCCTGCTCAAGCAGGAGACCCTGGCCTATACCATTTCAGACAAGTGGCTGTCCAGGAACCTGTTTGATGCAGAATGTCTGCGGAGGTTATCAGTCACCCAGGTCATAGTTGCCCCAACGATGCTTTTTTTTTCTTCAAAAGGCAGCTGGACTGTTTTTTCCTTGAAGAAGAAGAAGAAAATGTTTCGCTTCTCATCCAAGAAGCTTCATCAGTTCTGATGGGAGCAGGGCGGAGATGGAAGGATAGATACTAACAGTTGAGACTGGATGGTGGAGGGATGGAATGATAAGTTCTGATAGGATGGTGGGGGGATGGAAGGATTGACCACTTGGGGGGTTATCTTTGCCCTCAGGGTCACCTGAATCAGGATGCAATTGGTCGTGGAATCTTCTTGGAACTGCTACAAGGACTGCATTGTAAATTGGAGATAGATGGTGTCATATTCCTCCTTCTCTCTTCAGGGATGAGTGTTCAATTCTAACATACATGGATTCTTTTACCCCTCTTTCAGTGGTTCTCTATCCAAAATGTGGACTTTGCTGTCTTCAAAAGAGTGATCTTTATCTTTCAAATGCAGATAGACCACTGAATCTTGTCCTGATGGGTTTGATCTCCTATGTTGTGCCATGCACTTGTGAAGTGGTTGTTTTGTTTCACCAATGCACATGTCTCGCTGCATTGTATTGTATATATCACATTGCTCAGTTTGTATCTGTGGGTTTTATCTTTGGGGTGGACAAGCTTCTGCCTTAGTCTATTCTTGGGTTTAAAGTGTAGGTGTATGTTGTGTTGGTTGAAAATCCTGAGCTTTTCAGATATCCCTGCCACGTACGGAATGACAACATTGCTATGTTTGTTGTTCTCTTCTTTGTCTGTAATGTTGGAGGGGTTTTTTGGATTTGATAAAGGCCCAGTTAGGATAATCACAAGTTCTGAGGGATTCCTTGAATATTGAGAGGACAGGAATTTTAAATGGAAAGAATTGGGCTACTTTAAACAAAATGAATAAATTGGATTTTATATTTTTAAGATGAAATTTTAAGATTAAAAAAAAGAGTTATGCTTAAAAATTTGAAAAACCACAATTTCTCTTATTTACTCATATTCATGGAATTGATGTATTATTACATGTCTAATGTCTCTGAATCCCTTCAGACATTTTTCTTATTTGAACGGAAGAATATAAACAAATAAATAAATTCAATTCAGGCAATGGGGACTACACGTTTTCGATTTGATTCCAAAAAGGTGACTTAAAGCACATGGAAGTCCAACTGTAGCATATGCCTCCTACTATTTAAAACAGTCATGTCTTCTTCCAGGACTAACCAAAATACTTATTTGCAACTAAATCCTAAACATTACACAGCACTAATATTTAATTACAGAAATAGATGATTGCATGTTACCTTCATAAAAGATGATTCTTGGTGGGGATTAAGTAAACAAGTAGACAGCCTCTGCCCTCTGTATGATGTAGTAACAACATCAAAGCCTATAGCTTCAGGAATAGCTACAACAAAGGACACAACCCAGATCAAAACAATTTCAATTGCTGTCCATTTTGGTACGCCAATTCCTTTGATACGGCTCCATGAAGCAACAGCTCGATATCTAAATATAAAAAAGAGATCCTGGTCAGTTTAATGTAGTGCTCTGTGGATATTTTGCACCAGAAATGCTATAATTCTGGGCCATTGATTACATTATATGTGGCAGATAAACAATAAACCAGATCATTTGGGAAGAACCATTATTTAGAAGATGTATCTCTTCAGATGTTGGTGAATTCCCATTCTGTGAACTCTGGTCAGCATGGACAATGGTGAAAGATGACAGCAGATGGAATTCAGAAATATCTGTAGGATGGCAGATTGCCCACTGCTCATGCTGGTATATGCTATAGTATATCGAGGTAACATTTTGTTCTTTTCGACTGATGTGAGGGACCATCAATTTTGGCTTCTTCCCCCCCCCCTTTTTTTTTAAATATAGGTTTAGTTCAACTTTACTATGTCACAATGCAAGCCACATCAAACACTTGGGATGTGGGTTTTTCTCTATGCCAAGGTTGTGCTCAGGTATGGGAAGAGGTCATACTAAACAGAAAAGAATTGTATTTTATTCTCCATTCATGGAATTTTGAACTTCCACTTCTACTGAAGTAGCAGACGAATATCCTATTACTGCAGTAGTAGCTGAAGAAGGCACAGAGCTTTGAGAGAGAGATGAAAGTAATTTTGCTAATCCAGGCTGTCCATTGTTAAATCCTAGCAGGCTCTGAGCAATTCCTTTATCTATCCTGATGCTCCCCTTTATCTCCAACTCTATAACTGGGGTGATCAGAGAGCTGAGGCATGACCGTGAAGGCCATAAAGCCTGAAAATTATATACTGATAGCTTGGAATGACAATTAAGGGACCAGGAAAGGAATTAGGAAGAGAATCAAACTGGCTCTGGAATATGGAATACTAAAATCAAGATATATTTCATGCTCAACATAAAATGTACCATAAAAATACCATCTCTGTGATTGTTTACTGTATGTTTTTATCACATGGATTGCTTTCATTAGACTGAGATGAGCAAGGCCCCCTCTGCCATTTTCCCTACTATTTGGGTGGGGTATGACAGCTTCCAGTTTGTCAGAGGTGCTCCAATTAGCAAAAGCTTTTCAAATCTCATCAGAGGCCAAACAAGTCTTTCCTTGGTAGGAGTTCTACAGTTGGCAAAAAATACTTTTATTTAAAAAATGGTTGAAATTACTTAAATAGATAACAGCATTCATCTCCAAGTCCAATGGACAAAGTTACAAATATTTACAGTATGTAGTGGTTAGTGAAATAAATGGAAGGGAAGAATGAACTACCAATATTTTCCATAATGCCCTTATTTATGTTTTATTAGCAGGTTTTTTTAATCCTCTATTTACTTTTGGGATCTTTATTTTCATGTGAGTTCTATTTCAATAATTTCTCAAAGCTTATTTTTTCCAAACAAACAGCATTTGTAGAAACGTATTGAATCTCCAGGGAGAAAATGGGAAGATTAGGAAGTTTATAAATATTCCATTCTCATGTTTGTTATTTCTAATTAATACTGAGGATTATCTCTTCCTTTTTTAATTCCACACACCCATTTATTTCTTAAGGTCCCTTTGTTGGTGTGCATCTACGTATTCTGTGTCTTAATATTTCACTTCCAATACGTCATTTAAAAAAGACAAAAAGAACTGTTTTCTCACCTATCAATACTGAGAGCACATAAACTTAACACTATGATGCCGACAGACGTCTTTTGAAAGAAGGGGAATAATTTACACAATTCAACTCCAAAAGGCCATTTTGCTGCGTGAAGCTGTGGAGAGAAAAAGATGTGCTTAGCATTTCAAACTTTAGAACAGAAAGACAACACATGCTAAACTAATCTTATGCTAAAAATTACCAATTCTTGGAAGCTTAACCTTGGCATCTGAAAACAAGGAAATCATTTTTGAAGTCTAGAAGATACTATTTTTTCTTAAAACATCACCAGCTGTTTAGAATTATTCTTTTGCAGTGCATGAATTAGGCTTAATCTGGAAAGATCTATTCATACAACCATCACTGGGATTTACATTAATCTCAATATCTCTATCACAAATTTGGATGGTGGAAAAAAATTCATAATGTTTGGAAGACATCTGCATCTACCAATATGAGGTCATCCATTGCTATGGGAGGAAAGTGCACTGGCCCAGTGTACTTAACTTCCTCCTTTGGCTTTTGAAAAATAATGTAATAGCATTCTCAGATGGCTCTTCACTAAGAAAGAGGAAGACAGAGGTAGGACTGATTCTGGAAAGCTAATCCTAAATTCTGAGTTTTGGCAGAACCAAACACTATAGCTTTTCATTCTCCATCCATGGATTCTTTTTCTGCAGATACAAATATCTGGCTTCCCAGCACCAGCAAAACTTCATAATGATTCCAAGGGCAGAGGGATAGAGGACTATTAGGTGGCTTAAAAACCAAGCTGAGAGTAATGGCCAACCCCATTTATTGTTCCTGAATACTGCATGTTCTGCAACCAGCTATGAGTAGCGCTAACTCCAGGCTGGAATGGGACAACTTGCTGCAGCCAATTCACCACAGCCAACTCACCATGGGACAACTTGCCATGGCCAACTTACCACAAGGCAACTTGCTGCAGGACAATTCAATTTAATTATATAAAATAATTAAAAACATATTTTAATTTTGATCGTTCACAGTTCATTTTGTCCCTCTTTTGGCTTCCTTTCTTTAATGATTCTACTCCACTATTTCTTTGATATTGCAACTCTTGTAACTCTTGTTCTGTGGCAAGTTGACTGTGGTGAGTTGGCCATGGTGAGTTGGCTGGGGTGAGTTGGCTGCGGCTGTGGTGAGTTGGCTGCGGCAAGTTGTTGCAGACCCAACTCAAGCTATGTAGTGAAGTGCTTTGCAACTGAAAGGAAAGACTGATAGGGAGCATGCAAGGACAACCATGTAATATTTGGCAGCAACTTCTTTAATTAAACATTTCCTAGGAATATATTGCAGCATGCGATGTGGTTCCATTACTCCCACTTACAACTGCTTTGTAGAGTTGCCAGCAGATGCAACATGAGTGTTTCATGTGCTCCAAATACCTTTACCCCTTCCTATCTGAAATATTGCATAGTTAGTACCTAATGCTAACTATACTTGTAGACGGATGGAGATCTTTTAACATTTTAGATTCTGCAAGAGAAAAATTACGACTGAAATATATTTTATGGTAACTTGTTCTAATACAGCACTACCTAGGTTTTACTTTCAAGACTTGCCTGACTATCTAAATTGTCCTTTTAGCCTGGATCTGATGACATATTATAGGTCTAGTAAAGCCCGTATGTTAAATCTTTGCTTGGACTGTAATAATTATTCCATTTGTAAGAGTGTCAGCTTCATACTGTAATATCAATCCTGAATCATTGTAATAGTTCCACTGTAGTATCACCAAATTTGTCTTGGAAATAAATAATTTGGGACATGCCTTGGAAAATCTATGTGACTTGGACATATATGTCTGGCTTTGAGTACTGTGTACAGCTGTGCATATCTGAAGGACTATTGGGAAGATTTGCTTTGGATCTTGCACAAAGATTAAAGCTGACATAAATCTTAAAGCGGTGACATCATTTCCCCCCCCAGAATGCTGAAAGGGCTGCTTTGCTGGATGGTAGAGTATTATTGTGAATATTGTAGATTCAAATAACTTCTGAATAATTTTTGAAGGATAGTTTTCAATTATGCTAAGCAAGCGAAGTGGGCCTCTTATTTACCTCAATATCAATATAACTGTGATAAATTTTAATTCTGATTACAACTGTTGCTATGATGTATGCCTGGTGAAGACAGAGAAATTTCAGGGAAGACTTGATGACCAACTGAATGATGTAAATATTAACAATTATTAATGAGCAAGACAGTTTGGTATTGTGGTTAAAATGCTGGCCACGAAATCGGGAGATTGAGTTCTAGTCCCACCTCAGGCATGAAAGGGGGCTGGATGATCTTGGGCCAGTCACTCTTTCTCAACCCAACCCATGTCACAGGGGAAATTGTGGGGAAATTGGGAGGAGGAAGGAGTTTTGGGTATGCATATCACCTTGAGTTATTTATTTAAAAAAAGAAAGAATAAAGGTGAGAATATAAATCAATTCCAATTCATGAAAGTTCTTCTAAGACAACTTTTTTTTTCCAAACCAGCATCCTTCAGTTGTTTTGTACTGCAAATCCAATTTCTCCTCTCCTATGCCAGGGGTCAGCAACATGCGGCTCTTTGGGCCAGTGGTGAAATGTAAAATTTGTTACTACCGGTCCTGTGGGTGTGGCTTGGTGGTGGTGGGTAATATGACTGAGTGGGCGTGGCCAACTTTTTTTTTTCTACTTTTAAAACCATTTGTAAAAAAAAAATGCTTTTAGAGCCTCTGACGATCCCAGCTGACTTGCCTGATCGACAGAGGCTTTTTTTCTCCTTTAAAAACATTTTTTCTATAACCTCTTCGGCCGAAGAGGTTGTAGAAAAAATGCTTTAAAAAAAAAGCCTCTGATGATTGCGCGGCTCAGCTGGGCAATGGGGGGGGGGCAGGAATTTTTGCTAGTGGTTCTCCGAACCACTCCCCCCCCATCGCTACTGGATCAGGCGATCCAGTCCAAACCGGGAACATTTCACCCCTGCTTTGGGCCCTCTGCTGTGGCTCCCTGTCAGGTGATCCCACCACTGGCTGGCCCTCCCCTCTCAGTCACTCCTCGTCTGGCCTGAGAAGGTAAGGGCAATGGCGGGGGGATGGAGAAGTGGCCAGGGCAGAGACAGAGAGATACAGAGAGAGGGGGAGAGAGGGAGGGGAGAGAGATGTGTTGAAAGGATTTTGTGGTTCCTGGTGTTTTTTAACAACTGGTTCTCTGCCCTAATGACTGGCTGGATAGGCGTGGCTAGGGGAGGTGTCATGTGACTGGTGGAAGTGAGTGACATCGAGTTGGCCATGCCCACCCAGATTTTCTTTTCTTTTCTGTGGGAAACGGGTCCAAATGGCTCTTTGAGTATTTAAGGTTACAGACCCCTGTCCTATGCTAACTGAAGGTTATAGAAGTTGACATTGAATACCTTTGAAGGACATCAAATTGGGGAAAACTCTTTTAAGACCTGGCTGAAGCTTTAATAAAAGGAGGATAAAATGAGGTACGCATATCTTCACAATCCAAGTATGAATTAGATTAAATGATCAAACAAGATGAACCAAGCTCAGGTAGACTATAATGACTTAAGAAAAAACATTAATAGTACTTTTCAATCACAACATCCTTATCATCCTGATAGAATCAACAGAGAGAGGATGTTTGGACTTAGCAAACAGAGATGGCAAATATCAAAGGTGTAGTCACAGTGATCCTGACATTGCTAAAATATATTAGGATTGTGTGGTACTTCAAAGCATAAAGGGATGTGAACAAACTTTTCTGCAACTTTTAAAATCAACTGCTGCTTATCACAAACCATGCAGCTGTTCTGACCAGCTTCTATTGTATGTCATCCCAGAAAGCATCATAACTACTTTAAAGATTTGCAGACAAATACCACGGTTACTGTCCAGATGCTCTGAAACACCATTTTTAAAATTCAATCTGAAGTATTGTACAGCCCTAAAGGACCCAATAGTCACCTAATATTTTTGGCTTCTGGTAGATTGGCTTATGCCATACAGTACAGTGGTATAGCCCATACCAGTTTCCTTCAGTTGGGTTTCCAAAACTGCACAAAGTAATGAGATCACACGCTGATCTATCTTTGTGTACAGGTAGTCCTTAACTCATGACCACAATGAAGCCCAAAATTTATGTGGATAAGCAAGGAAGTTGTTATGTGAGTTTTGCCCCATTGTATGATCTTTTTTCCACAATTGTTAAACGAATCACTGGAGTTGTTAAGCAAATCATATGGTCATTAAAATGAATCCAGCTTCCATCATTGACTTTGTTTGTCGGAAGCCAGCCCTGGGACAGTGGAACTGTCATAAATATATATGCCAGTTGCCATCTGCCTGATTTTTGACTGTGTGATCACAGGGATGCTGCAATGGCCATAAGTATGAAAACTGATCATGTCATTTTTTAAAACACCATTGTCACTTTGAATGCTCCTTAAATGAATGGTTATAAGTCAAGGACTACCTGTACTGTATTCACGTCATAGGCTATATAAATATGTCATGAAGAGCAAACAAATAGTCACAATTTTTTTTATATATGCTTGGAGGAGGTACAAGAATAATTTGAAAAAAATAGAGCAGTGACATTACTCTAAATATATGTAAAAGTTGCCATATACTTTTATAAATCTCACCTGAATGCTAACCATCAGCATTGATCTATTCAGATGTGAGACAGCAGATTTAATTGATGTAGGAACAATAAAGCAGGGAAATCTGAGCTTTTTAATCACGAGGACTTGTTGGGGGGGCAATATGCTGACTCTATAAACCACTCAGAGAGGTCTGTAAAGCACTGTGAAGTAGTATATAAGTCTAGGTGCTATTGCTATTATTAATCCATCATTTTATGAAGGCTTTAGCAAGAATGTAACATAAATACAAGATGCAAGCTAGCATTGCAAAATGTGGTATTTTGTAATTGCATGCCTTCTAATCCACAAGAGATAAGCAACTACCACTTATCAAACTTTTCAGGAAGAGCAGCCAATGGCCCATTTGGCCTAGAGCTGCTTCATCAAATGTTGCACTCTTAATTTGCAGTCCATCTCAGATATTTGCATAAAATATCATTGCATCCTAGACTGAAATGCACTGTCACAAACTAATCCAGAAATCAAAATCCAGCGAGAGACAGACATGAAGGAAAATGGAACACAGGCATAATCACTATTAGTAGGTATAGGATAGGGAATATTTGGCAGCAGCCACGCAGAAAAAAAAACCCTTAATTCCAGACAAATTTTGCTAAAGCCATGAATCTATTCTAGAGGACGGGAGGGCTTTGATAAACAGATACCAGGCTGTTAAAGGCAAAATGCAGAAGTCACAGAGATAGGAGGAGATATGAGGAACTGATAGCCAATACACTTATCTAGATGGAAGCAAGAGAAAATTGAAGATTTAAGAGCTTTGAAATCCCCTTGAAGTCAACTAAGGCTTCAAACTGAATAGTGACAAATACCAATTTCCTAGTGAATGTAGACCTTAGTTTAAAATGACTATTAATTTGAAGTTTTAGGAGTACTGTAAGCTGTCCCACTTGTTTTAGGTGTAGAGGCATATGCCTTTCAGAATTTGAGTTTGGAATTGAGCTTTTTTGAGATTTTGCTGTGACCAAAAAATAAAAAATAAAAAAATCACAGCAGCTTGAAGGAAAGGAAAACTTAAAATCTTTCAAAACTGAACAAAGAGTACAAATAGCTCTAGGAAAGGCTGCAGTAAACAAGCAGTCAGAATCAGTTACAACCAGCCAAATGATGGAGGGAGCGGGGAGGAAAACTGTCTTAAAATTCTTTCAAGGTAAGTGATTAATAGATGGCTCAGTTGATAGCTCCCCTAGTAAACTCATAAAACCTGGAAGGCACCACATTAAGGGAAGGTTGCTTTGACATAGACTAGAACAGAGGTCTTCAAACTTGGCAGCTTTAAGACTTGTGGACTTCAACTCCCAGAATTCTCAATCCAGTATAACTTCTGGGAGTTGAAGTCCACAAGTCTTAAAGCTGCCAAGTTTGAAGACCTCTGGACTAGAAGAATTTATGTGTCTCCAGATATGACTGAATCAGGGGTGAAATCCAGCAGGTTCTGACAGGTTCTGGAGAACCAGTAGCAGAAATTTTGAGTAGTTCGGAGAACCGGCAAATACCAACTCTGGCTGGTCCCAGAGTGGGGTGGGAATGGAGATTTTGCAATATCCTTTCCTCAGAAGTGGGGAGGGAATGGGAATTTTGCAGTATCCTTTCCCTGGAGTAGGGTGGGAATGGAGATTTTGCAGTATCCTTCTGCCAGGCCCACCAAGCCACGTCCACCAAGCCACACCACTCCCACCAAGCCACGCTCACAGAACCGGTAGTAAAAAAAATTGGATTTCACCACTGAATCCTAACTCCTATAACCTAAGCTAGTTTAACTAGCTGGTGAGAAAAGATGCTAGACATTGTGATTAAGCAACTTGAGAGGACTCAAACCCAAATAATATCATAGCATTCGGTACTTTCTAGTTGGCCCTGTTAACTTGGTATAAAACAAGCCCCATGACTTTTGTACCTTAGAAACTAATTTCCATCAGAGGGAGGGTTTTTACTAGAGGAGACTAGACTTGACTATTTATGTGCAATTCCCAAAGTTTATCTAAGGCATCTTTGTAGCATTTTAAATAGCATTTTAAATGTGAGATAATGTACACTGAAATTCCCCATTATAGAAAGAAAACTTTATATTATTGGTCCTTATTTCTTTAGACTTCCAAGGATTTCATATTGTTCTTCAATACTCCACCTTTGAGGTATTATTATTCTTATTATTTATGCAACTCGGTTCTTGGTTTTCTCCAGTATGTGCAAGTTGGGACTAATATTTCTAGCACCATGTTCTTTAGCACAGGTTCCCCTCAGGGCTGTGTCCTAAGTCCACTATTGTTCACCTTGCTGACCCATGACTGTTGTGCAAGGTTTGCTACCAACCATATTGTGAAGCATGCAGATGATGCAAGAGTGGTGGGCCTTATTCAGGAAGATTTTGAGTGAAACAAGCACAGCAGTGCCTGAATTTTCTGCATCGTATGAGAAGAGCCCATCTTCCTTCCCTTATCCTTACCGCTTTCTATAGAGGGACGATTGAAAGTATCCTGTCGTATTGTATTACTGTGTGGTTTGGGGGTATTACCGTCTCTTATTACAGGGGTGAAATGCTCCCGGTTCGGACCGGATCGCCTATCCGGTAGCGATGGACACAGATGATTCAGAGAAGCGGTAGCAAAAATCCCTGGGCCCCTCCCCCCATGCCCAGCTGAGCCACACAATCATCAGAGGCTTTTTTTTTTTTTACTTTTAAAAGCATTTTTTCTACAACCTCTTCCACCAAAAAAAATGCTTTTAAAAATAATAATAATAAAAAAGCCTCTGATGATTGCACGGCTCAGCTGGGATCCTCAAAGGCTTTTTGAGATCCCAGCTGAGCCTCTCTGGTCAGGCAACTCAGCTTGGATCATCAGAGGCATTTAAAAGAAAAAAAAAGCCTCTGCCCATCAGGCAACTCAGCTGGGATCCTCAGAGCCTTTTGAAAGCATTTTTTTACCTGAAGAGGTTGTAGAAAAAATGCTTTTAAAACTAAAACAAAAAAAAAATGGCCACACCCACCCAGTCACATTCACATTAACCCCCCCCCCCCCAAGCCATGCCCACAGAACCGGTAGTACCTAATTTTAGATTTCACCACTGTCTTATTAGTATTGCAATAATAAAAAAAAAAATCTCTTGGATCCCAGCTTGCCATCATCCCTTACCTTATACAAATTGATGGGAATGTCGATGAGGATGAGGAGCAGGTCCCCCAGAGCCAGGCTGGCGATGAGGATGTTGGGGCCGTTCCTCATGCATTTGTTCTTGTAGATGATCCGGAGCAAGGTGGAGTTGCCGATGATGCCCAGCACAAAGACCAGGCAACCGATCACCGTGTTGATGTATTTGAAAGTATTCTTGATCTCCGTCTGGCTGTGGCACATCGGGTAAACAGGGGGAGCCCCGCCAGGCGATCCCGGGGTGGAGGCGTTGGAACCCCCGAAGTTTTCCTCCGCCTCGGCTGCCACGGGAACCGCGCTGGTCCAGGAGGAGGCAGCCAGGCTCCGCGCGGTGATGCCGGCCAGGCGCGGCGAAGAGTTGCCCAGCTCCAGCGCTCGGGTGCCGCCCGCGCAGTACACTAGGGCCGCCGAGATCCAGAAGCCCCACAGGATGCGCCCAGCCATGATCGCAGGGCAGCTCCGACAGAAGGAAGCGCAGCGAAGCTAGGACGGGAGGGTGGAGGTGGGTGGGAAACCCTATGAAAAAAAAAAAAACCCACCCGTAGGATAAGGCGCAGCTGCTTAGGATCCCCTCGCCTCGGCTGGCAGCGGGGTCCTCCAGCGGCTAATCGCAGCCAAGCCGGAGCACGTGCGCCCAGCCGGAGCCAGCGAGCGAGCCAAGCCGTCTGACCGACCCCGGCTTTACGCGCTCTCGGGGGGGGGGGAAAAAAAACAAAACCCCGGGGAGAGGCGGATGCCTGGAAAGAAGACGATTCGCTCGGCCTCAGAAACGTCGCTTCCTGGGTAAACACAACTCGGAGCGACTCTGCTTTGAAGAGGTTTTGGCGGGCGTGAAGCCAGTGCTGAGGAAAGAGGGGAGGTGGGGGGAAGGGGCGCAGACCTCGGCCTTGACTAGACAAGTCACTTATCTGACGCGGTAGAGGTTCTCCTGCTTGAGCTCCTCGGGGGCTGGTCTAGAAGACCTCCAAGGTCCCTTCCGGCTCATTTTATTCTAATTTGATATAAAATTGGGGACTCTGCTTTTCCCAGGCTTCCAGGAGGGGAAAATCATCATCATCATCATCATCGTCATCATCGGGGCACTTGGTACCATATCCAAGAATTTCACAAAACACTTCAAGAAATTGCAACTTCCTGCAATAACATCAGCGGAACTGCAAAAAACTGCGCTACTCGGAATAGGTACTTGGTTGATAGCTAGGACGCTGCCAGCAACCTGTATCAACCATTAGCACCAGTCAATGGTATTTGTGACACGTTTTTAAATATCCAGTTGACTGAGTTTCATTTTTAATGAATAAAAGAGAATAATAATAATAATAATAATAATAGCCATCAAAAGTGTGTGATTATGGATGAAACATATAACAATGATACCCATTGTCATCGGGGCACTTGGTACCATGTCCAAGAATTTTATAAGATACATCAACAAATTGCAGCTTCCTGCAATAACACCAGAGGAACTGCAAAAAAATGCGCTACTCGGAATAGGTACTTGGTTGATACCTAGGACGGTGCCAGCAATCTGTATCAACCATTAGCATCAGTCAATGGTATTTGTGACACATTTTTAAATATCCAGTTGACTGAGTTTCATTTTTAATGAATAAAAGAGAATAATAATAATAATAATAATAATAATAATAATAATAATAATAATAATAATAATAATAATAATAATAATAATAATAGTAGCCATCAAAAGTGTGTGATTATGGATGAAACATATAACAGTGATACCCATTGTCATCGGGGCATTTGGTACCATGTCCAAGAATTTTATAAGATACATCAACAAATTGCAGCTTCCTGCAATAACACCAGAGGAACTGCAAAAGAGCCTGGTGGCGCAGCAGACTAATAGCCTGTTATTAACATTCAGCTGCCTGCAATTACTGCAAGTTCGAATCTTCCCAGGCTCAAGGTTGACTCAGCCTTCCATCCTTTCTAAGGTAGGTAAATTGAGGACCCAGTTTGTGGGGGCAATAAGCTGACTTTGTATAAATATACAAAAGTATGAAGGCTATTGCTTAACGCATTGTAAGCCGCCCTGAGTCTCCGGAGAAGGGCGGCATATAAATCAAATTAAAAAAAAACAAAAAACCGCGCTACTTGGAACAGCGTATATCTTAAGAAGGTACTTGGTTGATACCTAGGACGCTGGCAGCAACCCGTATCGACCATTAGCACCAGTCAATGGTATTTGTGATGCATTTTTAAATGTTCAGTTGACTGAGTTTCATGTTTAATGAATAAAGTAAATAATAATAATAATAATAATAATAATAATAATAATAATAATAATAAGTCCTTGATTAGGACTCGAGCTGCTGAGCTATTAACCAGCCTCAAAGGCTGTGAATCTCACTAAAGATTAAATAATAATAATAATAATAATAATAATAATAATAATAATAATTCTCATGCTATATATAGATTGCCTTCAACTTACAACAAACAGTTTACTTAGTGACAGTTTGAAGTTACAACGGCACCAAAAAAGTGAATTATGACCATTTACCATGAGTGCAGATCTCTGGCTTGATAAAATTGGGAGCTTTTCCCACGGCTTCCGGGAAGGGAATTTTTTTAAAAAAGTGAATTATGACCCTTTTTCTTACTTATGACCATGGGCACAAACCTTTGGCTTGATAAAATTGGGATCACCACTTTTCCCACGGCTTCTGGGAGGGGAATTTTTTTTATTAAAAAAAATGAATTATGACCATTTTTCACACTTATGACCATGGGCGTAGAGCTCTGGCTTGATAAAATCAGGAGCTCCACTTTTCCCATGGCTTCCAGGAGAGGAAAAATATTTTTTTAAAAAAGCTCTCATGCTATATACAGGTAGTCCTTGACTAATAATGGTTCCCTTAGTGACTGTTTGAAGTTTCAATGGCACTGAAAAAAGTGACTTATGACCATTTGTCACACTTATCATCAGGGGTGGGTTCTAAAATTTTTTACTACCAGTTTTGTGGGTGTGGCTTATTTTCTGGGCGTGGGTTGATGGTCATGTGACAATTCTTTAGGATTTAGCAGAGGTACTGGTCTACCAGGCTTTTAACTGCTTGCAGAGCTGTTCCGGTCTACTCATTTGTTTTTGGAGGTACCGGTCTACTCATTTGTTTTTGGAGGCACTGGTCTACCCATTTATTTTTGCAGGCACCGGTCTACTCATTTGTTTTTGGAGGCACTGGTCTACCACCACACTGCCTTTTAACAGTGTGGTGTTGATCAGCTGTAGAGTGGCCCTTTGAAGCCCCGCGGCAAGAGTTTAAACAGTTTTTTTCCTTCTAGCCAATCAGCTGGGACTCAGGAGGCAGCAAATAGATTGGGAGCAGGGCCAAATAAAAGGTAAGAATAACACAGGGGGAGGGGACGGGGGGGGCAGAACCAGTTTGGTGATATCATATCGTCACCGCTACCGGCTCGGAACCGGGAGGAACCCACCACTGCTTATGATCGATACAGCATCCCCATGGACTTACAGGGATTTACATTTGGATGCTTGACAACTGTCACATTTATGACCGCTGCAGTGTCCCGGGGTCATGTGATCCCCTTTTTTGACCTTCTGACAAGCAAAGTCAATGGGGAAGCCCGTTACTAACTTAACAACTGCAGTGATTCACTTAACAAATGTGGCAAGAAAAGTTGTAAAATGGTACAAAACTCACTTAACAAAATTTCTCACTTGGCAAAAGAAATTTGGGGTTTAATAGCAGTTGTAAGTTGAGAACTATCTGTATTAAACAAGGAACGGACAGAAAAGTTTTGGTAGTCAGAAAACTATCCAGAGTAACTTTTTTTTTTAATTTATTTTTTATAAACAAACATACATATACAGACGTAGACATTAAAACAAACTATACATAAACTAACTATACAGCTTGAACTTTAAAAATAGAGCTACTTCGGTAATTATATATCTATATATCTATGTATATTTATCTTTCATCATGTATCAATGTTTATACAACGATATTTCATTTTATTTCCTTATTTTTGTATCATTGGGTGGTATTCCCTTATTTCGTGTTCTTTTTATCTAACCAGTTGTACCATTTCTGCCAAATTAAATAATACTCTGAATCTTCTTTTCCCTGTATCTCTTTGGTAAGTTTGTCCATTTCCGCACATTCCATTGTTTTTTGTATTATTTTTTCCTCTGATGGCGTGTCCTCTAGCTTCCACATTTGTGCGAAAGTGATTCTGGCTGCGGTCAGGATATGTATTATCAAGTATTGTGTCTCTTTTTTATAGTCCTTTGTCAGTATTCCTAGTAGATATGTTTCCGGTCTGAGGGGCACTTTTTGGGTGGTGATTTCTTCCAGCTGATTCTGAATTGTTTTCCAAAATTTTTTGGCCTTTGGGCATGACCACCACATATGGTAGTAGGTCCCCTTCTGTATTTTGCACTTCCAACAGTTCTGATTCGCGTTAGGGAACATCCTTGCCAGGCGTGCGGGGGGGGGGGAGATGCCACCTATAAAACATCTTGTATGTATTTTCTTTGTAGGGCACGGACATTGTCAGCTTAGTATTTACCTTCCACATTTTCTCCCAATTTTCTAGGTTAATATTATATCCAAAACTTTTAGCCCAAATAATCATATTTTCCTTCACCACTTCTTCCAATTTGTATTTTAATAGATAATTATATATTTTAGTTATTAATTTATTGTCTGATTGCATTATGATTTTATCTAATTCATTTCTTTCTTTTTGGATTCCAAATTTTTTTATGTCGATTTTGTATCTTGATTTTATCTGTAAATACGGCCACCAGTCAATGTCCGTACCCTGTTGTCTCAGTTCGTCTCTTGTTTTCATTTCTCCCTCTGTGTTCAACAATTCGTCATAGGTTTTCATCTTGTCTATATCCATTGTGTTTGGATAAATTTGGGCCTCCATAGTTGATAACCATCTTGGGATTTTATCGTAGTGTTTTCTCCTTATTTTGGTCCAAATTTTTGCCAATGCTCCTCTGATATAGTGTCTCCTGAAGTGCTCATGTTGCCTTGGTTTTTCCTCCCATAAGAATGCGTGCCAGCCTTTCGACAGGTCAAATCCTTCTAATGCTAACGTTCGTTTATCTTCGAGTGTTAGCCAATCTTTGATCCAAGTTAAAGCTGTTGTAGTGTAGTAGGTTTGCCAATCTGGGAGTCCCAGACCACCCTTTTCTCTAGTGTCCTGTAGGTGCTTCAGTTTAATCCTGGCTCTTTTCCCTTGCCATATATACTTTAAAGTCATTTTATCAAGGTCTTTGAAATATGATTTCCCTGGATTTATCGGTATTGTTCTAAATAGGTATAATGATTTCGGTAAGATTGTCATTTTGATTGAAGCAATTTTGCCTAATAGCGATAATCTCAATTTACTCCATGCCTCTAAGTCCTTTTGGATTTGTTTGGCCAATTTATTATAATTGTCTTCTTTAAGAGATGATACTTATTGATAAGCCAAATTCCTAGGTATTTTATTTTTGTTGTTGTTTGTATTCCTAGCGTCTCTTCCAATTCTTTCTCCTGGGTTTTTGTCAAATTTTTGGTTAGTAGTTTTGTTTTTTGTCTATTAATTTTCAATCCAGCGACTTCACCATATTGTTCTATCTTCCTTAGTAAATTCAATCCTGATTGTTTTGGTCTTTCTAAAATAAATACTACATCGTCTGCGAATGCTTGT